TCCTGACATCCACTGATTTATTTTGATCCCTGCCATTTATTACAGCAGAAAAGCTGAGAAAAGTGAGAGGGCTCCTCAGCGTGTTCAGCTGAGACTCTGCCCATCCTCTGCACAGCCCGACTGGTGAAATGGGGCTCTCCAAGGGCCCAAGCTCCAGAATTGCTCCCAGGACCGTGGCACCAGAGAGCTCTGCTGGGGACACGGCAGAGGTGGAGCAGTGGGAGGGGCACAGGGACACTGGCATGTACCTAACCCCCCCTCCAGATGGGGTCTGGAAACAGGATCTCCATCCTTCAGCAAAGCCATCCAGGAAGGAGTGATTGTTTTCCTATCAGTCTTCCTCTGCCCCTGAGAAAGCCTGAAGACAGAAAACAAACCATACCAGTACAAAATGAATAGAAACGAACCAAGAAAGGCACCAGTGACTACAAAAAGAGGAACAGGAGGGTGGGGGAGTCTCCTCGGTGCTGACTGCAGTTCAGGGCTGTTTGAACTTCACTGGTGGCAAGCGCTCACATTTCTGGGGCTCTTGACACAGGCCTTGGCTCCAGGGGTGAGAGCAGCTGCATCTCAGTTTGGATGGGATTGCTTCCACACAGGGAAGGGATTTTGTCAGAACTGCCTTCCAGAGCTGCCCTGCTCTGCCCCGAGGGCTGATGTGGTTCCCCATCCCAGCCCTGTCAGAGCACTCAGAGCCAGCAGCAGCTGTGCCCCAGCCCAAGCCACACAAAAACCCAGACGGGACACGGGGCTGGAGCAGCTCTTCCCACCCCTCCAGGGACACTGCAGAGCTGGGGACATCCAGCACGAGGATTCAGCCAGGATATCAAGAAATACTTCCCAACAATTGCCGGCACTCAAACGAAGGAAAATCCAACTTATCCATTAAATAAATTAGAGTTCATTCGAGGTAATGCCTATGGAACAACTTGTGAACACCACGTCCTGTCGGTGCTTTTTGCTAATAGTGGCCAGCAATTAGCCTAAGCCATTCAGTCTGGATTTGGAGGTGGATTTTCCCTCGGGATCCGTGTTTCTCAGGGATTACAGGCTGGGAGCCACACTTTGCCTCAGTATCAACCCCACAAACAGCTCACATGAGTGGCCCCAGGTCAGAGATGGGTAATTCAGGCACAGGGAGGACAAGAAGCAGCCAGAGGAGAAGCAAACCCTGTGCTCCAGCAATGCTGCTCTGCAATCCTGGCAGTGCTGCTGGTGTTCAGTTCCGTGTCTCCCTCCTGAGCTCCTGCCACCCCCCAGGCACCCCAGTGCACAACTGGTGTGCAGCAGCAGGAGCTGAACACTCAGGGGATGGAGCTGCCTCTGTGGACTGGGAAAGGAAGCAGAAGAGAACACAAGTACTTACTGGAAAAGAAAAAAAACCACCCTGCATTTTATTTTGTTGAAAAATGCCTGGGGCCAGCAGCTCTGCTCCACAGACACACTAATGATCTGGGAGTCCCTGTCTGGGGGAATGCTGACACCCACAGCTCTGCTGGCGGAAAACCAGGCGGGTTTTGATGTGTCCTGGGGGATTTTCCTCTGCCCTTCCCTCATCCTTCTGGTTGGTGCAGATCTGCCCAAGCCTCCCTCCTCCAATGCTCTAAGACAGTTTCCAAAGTGTGATTAGCAGTTTCTGTCCCTGATGCCTTTTGGGAAAGCTGTGACCAAGTGATAGAAGCAATTCTGGGAATCTCAGAGAAGAGGCAGGGGGAGAGGAGAGAAGGAAGCCCCTGATGAACCCAGCAGTGTGGGACAGTCAGACAGAGCAGAGCAGCTCAGGGAGGTGTTTGCTCATTCCAGGGAGTCCTGCCCTGCTCTGTTTTGCACTCACAGCCCCAGTGCTCTCAGTTTCAATCAGACTTTCCCTCTTTGCCCCAGCTCTCCCTGGGGAGGACCCTCAGCCAGGGCTGGGGCAGCCCCAAGTGCCACCCAAACAAGAGTTCTCTCTGCTGCCTGCCTTTCTCAGTATTCTCCTTCACAGGCATGCTCTGCTCAGAGAAAGCCCCTGTCCCCTCCCACGCTCTCGTGGCACCATCTGGTTCTGCTTTGCACCATGACGTGCTTCCTCTGGGGTTTATTTGCTTTTTTTAGCCAAACCCGAGAGAGGCAGAGAAATACCCTGTTTGCTTTGGGGATGAACCACCCGCCCCCTCAAACACGCTGACTTTATTTATTGGGGAGGTTTTCTGCGGAGGGTTACAGGAGGCTTGAGTTTTCATTTTGTTTTGGTTTTTTTCCCCTGTGAAGTTCATAAATGGGTTCCTCACGGCATCTGCTGAGATGATGAAAAGCTTTACAAGGCTGTTGAGTTCGACAGCCATTATCAGGTGATGAGGCAGTGTGATCTGAGGGTTTGAGTGGGAGGGAGGACAGGGGGGCACAGAGCAGGTGGCAGCCACTGTCACCCTGTGCCTCAGTGTCTCCATGGCACCAGCAGCGCTGACCCAGGCCTGTCCCCAGGGCACCGGGGCCTGGTTTCTGGCAAGTGCTTTGTACACAAAGCACCCCAGGGATGCCAAATATCGGTGGTGCTCACCCCTGAGGTGCTCAGCAGGCACAGAAAGGCTGCCAGCTCAGCAATGCTCTAGGGCTGAAGGGCATCCCGGGATGATCCCTTTCTTCAGCACGAGAGATGAAGCCACAGTGAAGCCCCAGAGCCTGTCCCAGACTATTGCAGTGAGCAGAGCAGGGAAGAGGATGCAGCCTTGCCAGCTCCCAGCCCAGCAGAGACATTCCTTCCCTCTGGAGAAACTCTCACACAGCACAGGGGACTACCCCAGGAGCCACCTACAGCAGGAGCAGGGGTCCCACAGACAGTGCATTCCCACAGAGGGATCCAGGATTCCTGCAGAGAAGATGCAGAATTCCTGCAGAGAAGATGCAGGATTCCTGCAGAGAAGATGCAGGATTCCAGCAGCCTTCCCCACCTGGTGATTGGCTTCATCATTTCCAGCGAGCTTCTCAAACTTCACCTGGGTCACAGCCACCGTGTGCCTGTGCTGCACAGCCCATTAATCCTCTTTGCTCCAGACTTGATTAAATTTAACATTAGGTCTGGATGAGTAATTTCATCCTGCAACACAATTCAAGGTGATAGATGAGACCACAAGCAGGTGATAACCCAGCCTTGTCCCTCCTCCTGCCAAAGCGGGGCTGGCCAGGCTGCACAAAGAGAATCAGTGCTGCTCCAGTGGGGCTTCCACTGGCAAGAGCCAAGGAATGAGGATTTCAGCTGGCATGGGAGGCCTGGCAGGAGGAAGGGGCAGGGGCTGGGCTGGAAGGGTTGCAGAGCCCAAGGCAGGCAGAAGGGCTGGGACTGCTGTTTGTCCCCTGGAGCAGCTCTGGCACCAGCTCTGTGCCCATTCCTCGCCCTGCAGAGCCTCTCATGGACACCTTGGGCAGGAGTGGGCCCAAGGCAGAGCTGCACAAGTGTCCTGTTGGAAACACTCTCCAAAAGGGCGCACTCCACCCCAAACAACAGCTCTGGGGTCACTCTGTAGCTTCCTCTGCTTTCCTGTTACGCAGCTGCAGCGCCCTGTGCCTGGCAGGCTGGCACTTGGATGGCTTCACATCTACAGAGCACTTTGAAGATGAGATGAAAATGTTCCCAAAAGCTCCTGAGTGGCAGAAAAAGGCATTAGCAAAGCCCTGACAGCAGCAGCCAGCCTGGCAGCAGCTCCAGGAGGAGCTGGGAGCAGTGGGGAGGCTGCAAGGAGCAGCTCCTGAAGGCTCACCTTGGCACGCTCTGCAAGGGGGGGCTCCAGGATGAACCTCAGCTTCTCAAAACACACCCCAGATCAACTTGCCACAGCTCCTGCCTCTGCTCCATCTTCAGAGCAGGCTGGGACAGCAGGAGAGAGGAATAGTTGATGCTAGCAGGGGCAGAGATGGCAGAGGCTCGGGTGCTGTGGGAGAGGAGAGCCACCAAACAGTTAAAATGTAAAGAAGAAGAAGCAGGGAAGACTGGAGGAGAGCCCGGAGAGAAGAGCAGGATCCACATATTGGGGATTCCAGTTCAGGGAGGCAGAATAATTCCCCCAGCAGCCACGGTGGCTGCAGGGCAGAGCTCTGTACAGGCTGAGGAGCCGCACGGGACAAGGGGTTAATGAGAAAGGACGAGAGAACGGCACAAATAAAATCAGAAATGACATTCTGGCCAACAGAGTATCTCCAGGCTGGGGAAAAACCCAGAGAACCTCACTGGGTTCTATTTTCTGTCCTGCCTGAGGATGAGCTCTGGGCTGAAACTTCACCTTTAATCTCATTCCTGCATTTGAACAGAGCTGCGGTGCCACAGCCAGGGTTTATCCAAAAGCCTCTGGATGAACCCACACTTCTGGAGAGCTGATCATCCCACAGACCCCAAAGAAGGTGCAGCAGCTCATCCCCAGCTCAGGCACCTGCCCACAACCCTTCCAAAGAGAAGTCACTGATGGGCAATGCTGGATTCCAGCTCACCCAGAGAATTCCTGGGTGACCGTGGCAGAGTCCCCCCCAATTGCTCTGTGCCTCAGGTCTCCACCTATAACAAAGAGATCATTAAACAGCCATGAAATCACAATGGAAATGAATGAATTCAACGTTTGTGAGGTCCTGGCACACGAAGGGGGATGGCAGAGCACATCAGAACAGAAATCTTGCAGCCAGCCCCACGGGAGCTCGTCCATCCTCACATCCCAGGGCTCACAGAGAGCCCAGAGGCAGCGGAGCTGTGTGTGGCCATCCAGCCAGGCTAATTAGCCCCCATCCCAGGTAATTAGGTAATTCCCCTGACTGGAGTTCCCTCTCTCTTTCCCAGGTCAGGATTAGCTCATTCAGAGGGAGGTGGGAGATCCCTGCTGGGCAATGCCAGGTGCCTCCAGACCTGGCTCCATCAGAAATTCCTGCTGGAGCTGGCATGGCAGTGCTTGGTTGCTCCTCTCAAAGACAATTCTGCAGGGCTTTGTGCTCCTAAGTTGTTGCTGTGCTTGCTGCAGGCACAGGGGCTATTCACTTCTCCCACTTAACAGAAATTAAAATTGTAGGAGAAAACACAGGGGTGTTGCAGAATTGATTCACAGGACACAACTTGAAGATGCAGTAACCACAGAACTGTTTTTTGGTTTTTTGGTTTGTTTTTTTTCTTTTAGGTCCTTTCTCTTAAGGATCTAAAAGAAAAGGGAAGGAAGAAAGGGGGTTGTTATGGAATTCAAAACCATCCCGTTAATTATTGAGCCACTCTGGACACTGCAGCTGGAGGTTGGGATTCCAGGAAGGTAGAATGAAATCAGAACAGTCCAGACAACAAGAAAAAACTTCTCTCATCATCATTGAGAAAGACAAATGTCCCCTTAATATGAAATCTGAAATATAACCGGTGACATTAGAGTTTCAAGCAGGAAATTGGAGGTGCTAATAAGGAAACATGAGAAGCAATGCACTTCTCTTAAGCCAAAAGGACACCTAAACAGGCAGCAAGAAGGAGGTGTGAAGGATTAGGAGCCCTGGGACCCTTTGAAAGGAAGTTTAATAATCCAGCACTGCCCATCCGGTGAGGCTGCCCAAGGGAAGCAGCTCCCTGCTGAACAAGGAACTGCTTCAAGTTCTGTATGAGCCAGGCAAGCTCAAGAAATTCACCCTGGTCTTTTTCACAGGAGTGGATTCAAGCCTTGCACACCCAACCAAAATAAATGAGGGCTGTGCTTGGGGTTGGCACACCTGCCTGGGCTCATGGGAGCTCAGTGAATTCCAAGGAATATTCCAAAATTCCAACAACCAAGGAATCAGCTGCTGGACAGTGCTGGCAGGAGCAATGCCACCAGTTAAGGGTGGGATGCGTCCTTTGCATCCTTTCTCATTTTCTTTCAATGGACAGAGTTGTCCAGCTGGAAAAGAATGGTGTGAATTCCACCTTCCCTGAGGGAAAACACACCTCAGCTGCTGTCAACACTTGTGATTTATAACCAAAGCCTTTGGACATTTAGTGGGTTTCTCAAAGCCTGCACTCCTGGAGTCAAGTGTGTCTGAGACCTGCATCTTTCTCACTCTCAAGGAGAGCTCCTGGCCTTTGAGTTTATAGAAAAATTTGAAAGCAGAACTGTTAAAATGTCAAAGTGAAGGAGTAAAACAGCAGAACAACATAAACAAAGTGGAAGGAAACATTCCTCCAAATGTCTGTGTTTAATTTTCCTGACTTTCATGCCAACCTCCAGGTTTTGGGTGCCTGACTCCTGAATATTGGAGCACTTCCAGTTGACAGCACAACAGCCTGGCACAGACATCAGTATAACCCAGTCCAGCAGCTGCCAGAAGTGACAGGGAATGTTCACATTCCTTTTCTTGTTTCTGAAGAGCAGAAGGAAAAGACAACCAAAGAAACGAACTGCAGGGATGCAGGAAATGCAGGGGTTGAACTGGGAACCTTCTCTCCAGGTGGAGGCTGCACGCTCCATAATTTCATGCTGGAAAGCAACACTTTGGAGGGCTGGGTTGGTTGGGGGGGTTTTTGGAAGGAAATATTGACAGTGCCTGTCAGCAGCTTCCCAGAGGGGTGCAGTGTCACAGCACATTAGCCTATTGGAAATGAAAAACCAGATGCAGAGTCTGAGGCCTGGGAGCAGCAGAGCTCCAGCAGCAGCCCAGGCTCTGTGCATGCTAATTCTGTTTAAAGCAACACTCCCATGCTCTTTTCAGCAAACAACTGTGGGGCTTTTTTCCCCTTTTAGCTCTTTGTAAGAGTAGTTTAGAAATAAATACTCCACAAAGAGATTTCTGGGCCAGATTTACCCAGTTCTTCAGATGACAAAGGACTGAGAAACATGCTTAGCAGTGTTTAGAAGAACATCTAAATGAAGGAAGTGCCTGACTCCTTTTGGCTTTAGGGGATTGTACAGCATGTAGGAATATTTCCACATTTCTGGCCTATTCTTTCATTTTCAGCCACATAGAGAAGTATCTGGATTTTCTCCAAAAGCAAAATCCACACTCCAAACCTCACTGCTGTTTATTACACGTGACAAAGGAGTGGGAAAAGCACAGGCAGGACTGTGGAAACCTGGAAGTGACAGTGATTTCATCAGGGAGAAGTCCCACAAGGCAGGAAGGGACCTGCAGTGTTTGCCATTCCTCCCATCACAGACAGAGCTGCACACCTGCCTCCAACTGACCAGGACTCACCTTGAAGATAATCTGGATTTCTCACACTGCACCACCACGGGAAGGTCCCCCTGGAACTGTGTTACCCTAAAGCTCCTCAACTCCAGCTGACATTCTCCCATCCAGTTTGTGCCCTGTGCTGGTGTTTAACCTCACTCACACAGAGAGGTCTCCTGGACAGGAGGTTTTCCAGGTGTTCAAATCCCTCCATCCTTGCAGCAATATTCCATCCACTCCCAGGATTCCATCCTCAGAATGTGCCTGCCGAAGTCCTATTTCCCCGTGACCCAGCCGCTGACAAGGAAGGAGGGTGGAGATGTGTTTTGCCAGGTTTGCTTCCTTCCCCTGTGCCTCCTGCTGCTCCTGCCTGTCCCACAGTGATGGATGGCTATTGGTTCTGGCTTCATCCCACGGAGAGATCTGTCACCTCATGCCAGGGAGAGGTGACAGCAAATCCATCAGCATGGAGACAGCACTCAGTGGCAGATTGCTTTCAAGGCCACTGGGGGCTGGATTCTTCTTTGCCTCCCACCTCTCTGGTTCCTCTCCTCCCCTGTTTTACACAGGTCTTAGTAAATCTTCATTTGAACAAACCCATTTGGCCCCTATGCACAATGTGGGCTGCACATCCAAGCTTGAACAGCTTGGGATTAGTGTGTTACTATCTCGCCTAAAAGAAAAAGAAACAAAAAGGAAAAGAAGGAGTTTTGCAGAGTCTGGGTTCAGATTCTATGCTGAGTGCCCATGGGTTTATCAAGTCCAGAGGGGAACGCTGGTCCTGAGCTCCTGCTCAGGGCAGTCTCAAGGATGGGAATGCAGAGCAGGCAGAAAGGGAGGACACAGCCAAATGAAACCACAGCTGATAGAAATGGAGCAAATCATTTCTCCATTCCACACAGCGCCTGCCTTGTTCAGCCTCTGGAATACTGGACTGAGTGCAGGACAGGAGCACCCCAGAGTTCTGCCACTGCCCTCTCTCTGCAGCTCTCACCTGACCTCTTTGTGCCTCAGGCTTCCCCCAGGAAGATTGATCCTCCTGGAAGTGCAAGCTAAGACTTTATCAGCTGATACTTGCAAGGCTGTTTGAGATCTTCACACAGAAATGAAGTGGTGATTCCAGCCACATTCACCTCCCCCTCTCCCAAACACCTGAGGTGATTATTGTCTCTGTGACAGTGGCACTTAGAGAAGGAGCCTGGGCTTGCCTGGCTCTCCAAAGCACCTGGTACTGGTGGGACTGAGGTTGTTCAGCATTCTCCACCCCTGGGGGCAGCCAGCAGCTTCAGCATTAATGAAGAGCAGCTTCTACTTTTGCTCTGCCTGCTGGCAAAGAGAAGGACATCCTGGGGACTTGGAATTGCTTCTGACACGGAGGTGACACGGAGGAAGTGGCAAAGGGGGCAGTTCGGAGCCAGCAATGCCCCACTGCCCCTGGACACAAACAAACACCTCTTGGTTTGACACTGTCAGAAAAGTCAGTGCTGCAACCTGCACAGAGCATCCCCGCTGCACACAGAGCAGGGCAGGCTGCCAGGCTGGCTGCAAAACTCCTGGCCAGGGATGTGCCTGGGGAAACACCTGGGTGCAGCCCAGAGGAGCTGCAGAAAACACCCTGCAGGTTCCAGGCCAGCGCACGGGGAGAGGCTGCTGGACTGCAGGCTGCCCCTGCAGGGTGATTTATGGATCTCTGCAGATGGCAGGTTCCAGCCATGGGGCTCCAGAATCCCAGAGCCTGCTGCTTCCTTAAAGGGTCTCTGCTGCAGCCCTGCAAACTTCCTGTAAAGTCAACTGCTTTGGCATTTTAATATTTTAAGTGCTGACCCCTCATCGATTCTGTTCAGTCTTTTAAATCTTTAATTTACTTACTTCTTCGGGTTTTAAACCTTGCCTGCAATTGTAGCTAATTAAAAAGCTCATTAGTTGGCATCCTGAGCTGATTCCCTGGGCTTTATGCACTGTACAGTTTGCCTCCTGAGAGTTTGAACCATGGCTGGGGCTGCTCAGCTTGTTTCCTACCTCCCCAGCTTTATGAGGTGTTCCATATTTTGGAAGACTGTTTCCCTTTCCCCTGATTTTGTTTTAAACCACCTCTTGCTGCAGCCTGCAGGAAACTCAGAGCCATTCTGGCTATCCACAGTAGCTGTGTCAGATTTATTTATAGCTGATCTTCCCCATCATGAAGAACTGAGACCTCCCCAAAGTTGCAGCCCCTTTTAAAAGGGGAATTGTGTGTAGGAAACAAACATCCCAAACAGATTAATTCCCATCACTACATGCAGGGCTTGACTTCAGCTCAAACATGCTGTTTACATGCCCAGTAGGAAATTCCATCCCCCTCAAAGACAAACATCAAGGGCTTAAGCCAGAGATGGAAAAAAAGGGTCCTGATCTCACACTCCCCATTCACAGACCCTACAGTACAATTTCTAGAGCAAAGCACCAAAATACATTTCTGAAGTAGACACACAGTCACATTCATGTCTCCCATCCATAAGAATTTTCTCCCTAAACTCAGTTTAGGGATGGATGGCTTCAAAACGTTCAAAAACATTTTCCTGGTGTAGCACAGATAAAACCACAGTCTGGGCCAATTCTGGTGGAAGCCCTGACAGAAGATGTAAGATTTGGGAGGAGTCAAATTCACGCCTTAAACTCTGATATGTCCACCCAACAGCATCAGGAAACTTCTCCTCAAGCCCACACTACTAGCCCCAGTTTTTATTTGGAAGAGACAAGAGCATGTATCAGTTTTCATTCCAGTACGTGCTGCCATGGCCATGTCTCTCTGCCTGCCCTCACTTCCCTGCTCCCTGTTTTCCCCAGCTCTCAGCCTTTGCAGCTTGTCACAGCCAGCCTCTGCCAGGGCACTCTCATGGCAGCAGGGCCCCAAATGGAAATGGGAATATGGAGCTGCTCCCTCACAAATTCCCCTTCTCCTCCCCTCCCCTTCCTTGTCACCATCTGGCTGCTCTGCCTTCCAACAAATCCAGCAGCTCTACTCCCTGCCTGGGGAAGCTCCTGCTTTTAACTGTGCTGGAGAGCCCAAAACGTGGTTCCAGAGCCTGTTCCAGGGAAGGTTTGCACAATAAAGTTACAGAGGAAGTTGTGATTACAGAGCAGAGGTTTGGGAGCATCTGAGACGCCCCCGGCCCCGGCTGCTGCAGGAATGTGCTAAAGCCCATCTGGGAGGGACAGGCCTCCTGCTTCCTGCTGCCTCTGCCTGCCAGGAGAGCCAGGAGTGGTGGCAGCACCAGGGACCAGAGCTAGGCTGGAGCACAGGCGGCTGGGACTGCCTTTGGCAGCAGCTCAGCCCTCGTGTTTTCATTTTACAAGGTCAAAACCAAACCCACCTCTGGTTTGGGGTTTGTGTTCATGCCTACAGAAACAGGAGAGGATTTCAGAGCTGGCAAACCCCAGCTTCCCCACACACACCCCACACATCCCCTGCCTTCCCAGCTCCCTGGCTTGTGACCAGCAACATCTAAAATAGCCACCTTCTCCTTCCCTAATCCCTGCCTTGCTTTTAGGACTGGAAATAGAATAAAGTAAAGCCAAAGTCCATCCTCAGAGCAGCCCAGCAGGGCTGGCATAGTCCAGCCAAGGAATTTGGCAATGGGAAAGGCAAGCCCAGACAGACTGGAGCACACAGGGAGGGGATGCTCAGGTGAGACAGCAGCCAGAGAACACAGAACTGCCCCTCAAAGCTTGCCAGAATGGAAGTGGTCAGGCAGTGAATAACAGCACCTGGATCACAATGTAAATACCAGGAAATGTCAGAGTGGGGTTTGGTTCTAGAGAGGACCATGATGTCTCCTGCCTTGTACGTCCTCCTTACTGACCCTACAACCCCACAAACCAAGTGCAGAATCCCATCTCTTGGAGTCCTCTGGCAGAGCTCTCTCCTCACCTTCAAAAACGCCTGGTTTTGGCACCTCCAGGAGCCTCCCCCAGCCTGTCACCGCCTCTCTGAGGGCCCAAAGCAGGGCAGGGCTGGTGCAGACACCCCTGGGGCTGCCTCCCCTTTGCTGTGTTTGAGGTGTGCCCTGGACTGAGAACCAGAGGAACAGAAGGACTGCAGCAGCTGGGGTGAGAGACAGGAGGCTGGAGTCACAGAAACCTGAGTGGATTCCCAGCAAAGAAATACAGATCTGTCAGGAGAGAAGGGAGGAGCCCAGGGTGGGAAGAGCAGAAAGCAGGGATCAGAGCTGAGCTGACTCTGGCTGAGGGAGCCAGGGCAGCAAATCAGGCTGGAAGCACATGATGTTTGTCAAAGGCTGGGCTGGAGCAGCAGAAGATGTTACGGGTCAGGACTGAGGTCTCTGGCAAAGCCCAGCAGCTGACCAAGGACACAAGTTTATCCAGGGCCTCTTCACGTGTTATCTGGCCACAGCCACCCTGCTGAGCCTCTTGGTTCCCTCATCACTAAGAGCAGCCCTGTCTCTTGTTTTCCAGGAGAAAAATCCCTGGAAGCTCTTTCCCCTCTATGCTGGGCAGGACTTTGGCAGGACAGGACTGTGCACTTCTCATCCTCATGTGCTTGGTTAGTGTCAGCTGGAGGTGAGGCTGTGCTGCAGGGTCCCCTCCCCTTCTCCCCTGTGCTTTGCTTCCCTTCCTTTCCTTCTGGCACGGAGCAAGCGAGCTGTTCCTGCTGGGCTGGCCCGGCACAGCTGCTTTTGGCAGCCCCAGCCCTTGGACCTCAGCCAAGGCCTATCCCAACGCTTTGAAAATTAAATCTCCCAAGAACTCACGAGGCTGCAAATGCACATAAAAGCACACTTCTCCTCTTTGTCCAGCCCTCAGGGTGTCTATCCCCACTCTGCTCTCAGCTGCCTTTAGCCCCTGTCCACATTCAGCTTCTGATCTGAGTGAAATACCAGGGGTCTGATCCTTTGCCACTCCAAAATCCTCCAGGACACAGAGAAAGACGGAGAATTCTAAAATGAGCCCTGTCACTAAGGCACCTGGGAGAGGCCCTGTGCCACATGCTTTCCAAGCAGCACCGTTATGGCCCAGACAGCTCCAGGCACCAGGGGAGGCAAAGAGCTCCTGTGCTGGAGGTGCCCATTCCCTGAAGAGTCAGGGAACATCTCGGGATGCCTCAGGCTCTGGACACAAGCAGTGCTTTGCATGGAGCAGTGCAGGGCTTGCACAGTCTCCCCTGGAGATGCACAGCCAACAGAACCTCTTTAGCTTTCCCCGTCGCTGTCGGGGTCCAGGGGGAGCTCAGGAGGGATTGATGGCCAGACCCCTGGAGATGCTTTGGGATCCAGTCCATCTGCCCTGCCCCTCTGCAGAGCCCCTGTCCAGCAAACTCCCCGTGCCCCCTGCAGCTGGGGGATTATTTCTGTCTCCACCTCGAGGCCCAGTCGCTTCTGAGTGTGGGGACATTTGTGCAGCATTTCTGGCACCCTCCCTCCCCGTCAGTCCCAGAGAGAGAGGATGCAGATGGAGCTGCCCAGCCATGCTCTGCTCCAGCCGGGCAGATTTGGAATTAGGACTGTCTGACAGCTGAGTCGGTATCCAGGCAGCCCTGAGGCCACAGAAGGAATGTGAGGAGTTTAGGGAAGGAAGGAAGACAGGAGTGCTTTACAGC